TGAGTTTTGAGAACTGGTGATCTTGGTAGCAGAGACAAAGGTTGCTTGTTTGGCATTTACTCCTCAGCCTCTTACTGGTCCGTATTCATCCGTTTGTCACGGCATTTTGTAGGGAGCTGTACAGGAAAGCTTAAGAAAAATGCTGCACTCTTGTCTTGATGATAGAAATCATTTCTCACTACTAGCATAGTGGTAACTTTTCATCCCTTTTGGCAGTTTTTAAAGACTTATTTGACTTTGGGGGAACCTGCAGTATATCTCTAAGTAACAGTTCAAAAGTATAAGACAAGGCTGCTCATTTTCAATTTTGGCTGAAAAGTCTTAACTTTGTAGCACTTCAAAGTTAGAGAAAACTTGGTTTTAAAAATGGATGCTGATATGAGATGGCATATTTAATGACAGATATATCTATAGAAAGCTGTTAAGATGCAGATTATCCCCCCTGGGGTGGGGGAGGGAGATCAAAACTGCCAATCTATAAAATATACTCGATAGAGGAAGGCATGGAATCTATCTTTGCAAGTGCTTTGATTGCAGGGGACAGTATAGCAGCATGTGGCATCATAACCCAGAGCAGGCAAATCAGCTTGATGACTTTCAAAGCCAGGAATACCGCTGCAGGCAAGGGTACTCCAGTGTAGGAGAAATTAAAACATATAGAGACTGTTATTAATTCCATATCTATTTTTGTATAGTCAAATCTGTATGCAAATCCTTAGCATCTCATTTCAGCAGATTAATCTAAAAGTGAGGAGCGGTATGTGAAGGGAATGTAATGACAAAGCTCTGCAAATGAGTAACACTGTAAAGGAAACGTAGGCTGAAAACTTGGATGCTTTTCGGGGAAGTTATTTTTTGTACCAAGAAGAACATTTTCATTTATATGTTGATTCGTAAATTATTTCAAAGGAGAAAGCAATAGAGCTAATTTCCAAGATTTTCCTTTGCAATCCTGACGTGGTAAAAGTTATAGCACTGTTTGTTAAGCACCTCCTGTGGTCTCACATTGTAGAGGTAATGAACAAAATAAGTAACTAGGACTTTTTAATTTTTACTCCCAACTTGTAATCTAATATCTCATTTCCAAACATTGTCGTGTGGGTGAAAATTTGTATGTAAGGATAAAGAACCTAATTACTGAGTACAGGTTAACAAAAAATATATTACAAATGCGTCTGTAGAAGTTAGTGAAGAGTAATTCTGAAGAGCATAGTGATAAACTTACGGGCTCTGGGGAAGGAAATGTAATCGCTCCATTTGAATCCTTTGGTTAGATATTCAGTCTATAATGACTAGACTGTGATACATACAGTAGTATAAATATTTTCAAATAGTGTCACAAAGCAGATAGTTTACTGCAAGTTGGCATTAATTTTGTTTTATACTTTTAAAACAAGTAGAGAAACTTTGGAGTTTTAAGAGGTGGAAGTTTTACCCTGTGTCTCTTGCAATTAGAAAATTGATTATAGGCCACCTGGACATTAATCTGGTGGTTATGGCCCAGATCAAAAGCACTGGCAATCATCTTAACCTTGAACACTTGTGTGGTCTCAATAGATTTGATTATTTATGTGTGTTTATGCTGAGAAAAGATTGAATATTCTGTTCTTAATCAGATGAAAAGATTGAGGATAAAAGCAAACATACTTTATTTTGACACATATTCACTCTAGACATTTCATCCTCAGCTCTCTTAAATGTGCTTTTCTCAATTTAAAAATGAAACCATTCAATGAAAAACCCAGAGAAAACTTTTTTTTTAAGGTTAGGAATCTCATTTTTCTGTTCTTTGTGGGTGTTCTCTGCAGACAAAGCTTTTGTTGATCTTACAAGTACTTGAAAACCTCAAAATTAAAAAAAAATAGCCCTCCAGTTAATGATAGCCATGGTCAGGGATATGATTTCCTCATTGGGTTTTGTGAGAGGAATGACTGGCCTGATAGGTTTCTGCCTGTGCATGTACCCATCAGTATTTTATTTCAGCTCAGTTGAGAGTTAGGCACTGATCCTCTGGACTCTGGTTGACTTGATTTTTAGTCCTGGAGTTGATGGCAGAGACCTATGTGAAGCATGTGAACCGTCAAAGCACATGCACTGGAAAAGTTAAGTAGACAAGGAAGATTTTATTCAGGACTGTTTCGACAGAGAAGAGACATCATAATGAAGTTGGGAATCACTCCTCTGAAACAAGAGGTTTTTAAGAAGACTGTTTTTAACCAATGGTGTGAGCAAGTAGGATAGTAATAATGGGCTTTTTGGGGAAGGTTGATCAATGGGTATATTGAGCACATTCAATTATTCCTGAGTTTGTAACTTTTTTCTCTGTGAGGAGGCCATCCATGTTTGCCAGTTTGTGCCAATTAGAGTTAGACTACTATTCTCCCAGAGTAACAGGAGATAGGGCACTCTTTGCTTGATGATTACCTTTTCAAAAGATGGCTCCCAAACTCTTGAAGATGTTCTTTTGTTTGTTTGTTTTGTTTTTTCCGGTACAGGGAATTGAACTCACAACCTTGCGCTTGCCAGGCAGGCACTGTGCCGCTGAGCTAAATCCCCAGCCTCCAAAATATTTTTTTTTTTTTGGTTTTTCTCCGGTACCGGGGATTGAACTCACGACCTTGCACTTGCCAGGCAGGCACTTATGCCACTGAGCTATATTTGAAGATGTTCTTGAGTGCTAAAAGTGGAGTGGTTTTTTAAAAATGACTTACGTCATTTACATGTCAAAGAGATGCAGAAAAAATTTATAATTATACTTTTGTAAAGTAATCAGTCTACAAAAAGGGAGGTCAGGGGCTTAGTAGCAGGTAGCAGACTAAAACTGGGGGGAATGTTAAAGCCTTCATAGTCTGTATAATAGTACACATTTTTATATTTAAAAAATTTCAAATATTTCTCACTCTGCCTCAGCTTCAGGTCTTTATTGAGAATTTAGCCAGCTTCATTGTGATACTTATTAAAATAAGAATGTTACTCATTTTACAGGAGTGTCTAGAATTATGTGTACGGCGATAGTTCTAGAGATGGACTATTTTTCTTCCTCGTATTCCTATTTTCACCTATTTTTTCTCACGTTAGTATTTTATGTGTTATTATTTAGAAGTTTTCCATTTGTTGATAAAAATTGTTGTTTAAAAATTCTGGCTTTATAGGACTCACTGTACACAACATGCATGGAAAGAAGTATCTCTTATCCAAAATGTTTAGGACCAGAAGTGTTTGGATTTGGGATTGGTTCAGATTTTGGAATCTTTGCTTACACGTAAGGAGACATTTTAGAGATGGAAGTCTATGCACAAAATTTGTTTCATACACAATTTATACACATAGCCTAAGGTAATATTATAAAATACTTTTAGTGTGTTTGTTTCTTGATTTATGACCCATCACTGAGGTTAGGTACCTATTTGTGGCAGCATATCAGTGGGTTTTTATTAAGCAGACTGTCCCATGTCTTTTGGTCCTAAGCATTATCAAGAGTTTTTTTGTTTTGTTTTAACAACAGTGACATGGAGAACTTTACATTTGTGCTAATTTGTTAGCCTGTAGCCACCAGTGTATTACTGAGTATTTGAAATGCGGCCAATTTGTGCTGTATCAGCTATGCTGGGGCAGTGGAGTAGGTGGCTGACAGATGAGAGAAAGTTCTCAGAGGTGGCTGAGAGATAAGGTTACTCAAGGATCAAAAGGAAAAGGTAAGGTTGAGCCTTGCTAGCAGAAAAGGGTAGTCCAGTGGTGGTGGGCTGGACCAAAAAGTTACCAGGGTATACCAAGAGTGTGCAGGAGAAACAAGCTAGACTAATTAAATGCCAGAAGGTCTTGGGTAGATGGCCAGATAGGAAGTTGTTAGTGCCCTGTGGTGGTGGACTAGAGAGGAGGTCACCAGGGACAGAGGACCAGACAGGAAAATAGCCGGAGACAGCTCAAGCTACAGTATTCAGTGTTGGTTAGCTGGGCTATAGCACTCCACAGTGCCCTGCGCTGCACGCAGTTATTACGGGGAGGGGATTTTATAAACTGCACAGCAGTGACATCATTACCTTGCTATGCTCCACTGTATGCTCAGCATTCCAAGGAACAGCTGACTTAGCAGATGGGTGGGAAGGCAGTTTCTATAAGTAACTCTGGTTGCCCAGTTTCAGTGTCCCTCAGATTACACCATTTGGACATTCCAGTTCCTGGCGGCTTGCAAAGCCCCCTTCACTTGGCAAAAGTCTTGGGAAGGCAGATGAAGTGTTTCAGGGACATGATGCTGAAATGCCCCAGTTTTTTTCCAGGATGATACAAAAAGACACCCTGGATTTAGGAAATTTTGTATAAAAAAAAATACAAACTATCTCAGTAATTTTTATGTGGAGTTCATATTGGAATGACACTATTTTGGCTATACTGAGGTAAATAAAATTTATTATTAGATTTAATTTCACTGTTCCTTTCTGCTTTTTCAACATAGTTACTGAAAGATTTATCATTGAATGTAACTTACATTTGTGGTTCTCATTATATTCTGTTCCATAGCATTGGCTCCAGATCTCTTCTGATGAGTAATGCCTTTTGTTTTATGGTTCATCCATATATAAAGATATTTCTTTATTAATTGCAAAGATGGAGCTTTAAGTTTGCCAGTTTAGCTAGGAACAAGAATTTCCCATATAGCTATGACCCTGGTATAAGTTATATAGATTTATCTTTGTGTTCACCCCACTTTTTTCTTCTACTTTGCCAATCATTCTAGCCTCACAGAGCAGTGTGCCAGAATTGGACACCTCTTGGTAACATCAGCATACTTTTTGTTAGCTCTCATCTGGATTGCTTCTGAAACGTTTCTTTAAAATTAAACTACTTCAACAATAAGCTTCTTAATTATGTCACAGGTTCACCTGTGAAAGGTATGCAGCCTCTTAGCAGTAGCTAATTTTCTGTTAGTGTATCTCATTCTTATGTTGAAATATCCCATTTCTTATTCATGAAAAGCTCTAACATATGTGAATCCATTACAGGTGGAGTAACTAACACAGCACAGTATCAGAACAGATTAATGGTGTATGAACCTACCCAGGTAAGAATCACATATAAAGAGCTTATTACCTTAATTAAAATGAATTTTAAAAGATTTCCACAGGACTGAGTAATTGGAACGCCAAGGGTATATTACATAGGCATGCTTATGCGGAGGGGAGCATCTGGGTAAACTGCTTTTCAGTTTCTATTTTATTGTTAGAAAATTTGCACTCTAGTTTTATGCTATGCACAATGCCTTACCACTTCAGTTTTGCATAACAGAGGAAGGATTTTGATTGCTCTATCCCTGTGTCCTGGAAGGGGAGCTATTTTAGGAGGACAACATGCTTGTAATTTTCAAATCAAATATTAGTGACTGAAAATAACCCAAATGTTCTAGAATAATACCTGGGAGATATTTGAAGTCAGGTACCTGAGAAGTTGGAGTATGCTTTCCATCAGCCAAGGACTGAATTAGAAATACTGTGATAGTGCCAGCTCTTTCTTCTATCCACTTCTCATGCATATTTAATGACTTCTTCCTCACATGAAGAAATATTTTTATTCTTTTTCTTTCTACCAAAATATATGGCTTTGGCAGATGTCTGCTGAATTTTGCCATTTCTATGATTTGGAAAAATGTAGTCTTTTTTTATTATGACAGTATCCCAATTAATTTGGAGGTTTAATACTCATCAGCTGAAGGTAGCAATATTGGGGTATGAGACAAGAGGTTGACTTTGGCAGTCTGAGTCAGGATTGGCCACCCATGTCCAGAGCGCTCTCAGTGCATTTGGTATCTTTCTGTTTTAATAATTACTTGATTCTGAATATGAAATTAATTTTCACAAAATATGATTCCTGATGTTATTAGAAGCCATAAATTTCCTAAAGCAAATGTCCAGTAGTCCTTTATCTCAAGAGGGCTCATTAATTACAGTTTCCTGAGTTTGGAACACACATGGTTAAAGAGAAAGGAAGGTGTTAACGTTGCTCAAATGAGCTCTGTTTCATGTTTGTACACACATGCTCTTTTTAAAAATTCTGCTGGCATATTGTTTACGGTGGGTACTGGCAAACATCACATCTGCTTGCATCTTGCTCAGAATCTCAATAACTCTATCACTCAGCCTTGGTGCTTATTTCTCTTCTAGGCCTTTGTGGAGAGTCGATAATGCCTGCCATCTGCCACAGAGCACATAGCTACCTGCCAACAGGCAGACAGGGGTGACCTCTGCTTCCCCACCACTGATTAGTATTCACATGCTAGCTTATTAGGAATGACCCCACCAGGCCTCTCTGTTTCTTTGCCTTGGCAGTGGTTGGTGGCTCACCTGGCAGGCACTGCAGTAAAGGAAGCTAAAGATATAATCAGGGGATGTAGGCAGGCCTTGCGAACCAGATGGCATCTATAGTCTGTGGCAGGGGACTAGACTGCTAATGTAAACATTGATTCCTAATAGTGTAATGGGTTGTCTCCTAGATGGCACCTAAGAAAAGAATCATCAGAATTTTAAAGTTTACTCAAGTATAGTGCATGAAAGATATTTCTTAGCAAAATATCTTTTAAAAGCTTAACTGTTCTATTAAGATATTTGACTGGAAGGATATTCTTATTATATATTCAAATAGGGAACAGATAATGTTCGAACTGTACAAGTTCTTTTCTGGAGTATATCTTTAAAAGAGAAACTAGCACTGAGGTAGTGCGTATGGCTATAGGAAATATACGCCTATACTATACATGCCAATGTTTGTAAAACATGTTTGTTGTCTGCTTCCTTCCCCACAGCTTTGTGGTGAAATTCTATGTATTCAAAACATCGTAAGATTTTTCTGGTCAAAATCCAAATTTTTCTTGGCAAAAAGGAAACTGAATTATTCCTGTATGTTTAGTGTTTATGGAGAAAGAAAATGTTTAGGTTTATTTACCTGTCCATTTCTTGGTTTACTTACCTACCAATTACTTAATTCAGATTTAAAGTCTTATTTGATTCTTACAGTATGTAATTTTACAATTTATATTACATTTAAAACCGGAGCCTTACTTTAAAAGGGGCGGAGCAGATCCTTCTCATTATTGCAGGTGTCCTAGAACCAAATATTAAAGGTTTCATTTTTTTCTCAGGTTCTCATACCAAATTTGGTATTATACTCATACAAATTCATGTGTGCCTAGAACTAACTTTTCTCAGTTTGGCAGATATGCCACTAAATGTTAAAATGTGAATTGTAAATATATAATGGAAGCTGATATAAAGAAAATGGGGGAGGTTTGTTACTCAATCAAATCATATCCACAGATCTCAGGTGAATTTGGGAAGTATAGCAAAGCCACCTTCACCTGAGAGTTTATCTAGGAGTCCCTGGCGCCGTGATTATTAGTACAGTATTTTTAAGAGTGAACATGTGTTGGACATTTGTTATATGCTAGGCATTTTTCTAAATTCTTTATGTGTATTAGCTAATTTAATCTTAGGAACAGACTTATTTCAGATAGGTATTATCCTCATTTTACATATAAATAAGCACAGAGAGGCTACAGAAAACAGCTCAGGATCAGATAACTCAGCCATTCCAATCTAAAGTCCGTTTTCTTAAACATTACATCACTATTTACAGTGTACCAAGCCAGGCACTTCTACTCTTAATTTCCATGTATAAGTTCTCTGAATTGGGTCAGAGAACCATCTTGAAAAATTTTAACGTTATCCCTTGTAAAATTTTAATGTTTTCATTATGAAATGCAAAACAGAATGTGGTTGATAAACATTAGGGTTCCTGCTACTAATGAGCCACCCGCTGCTGTTTTCTGCCAAGCAGGTCTCCTATTAACCGAATGCACTTGAATTTCATTTTTCAGAATAAGTGGATAAGCCGTAGCCCCATGCTGCAGAGAAGGGTCTATCATTCCATGGCTGCTGTCCAAAGGAAGCTTTATGTCCTTGGAGGCAATGACCTTGACTACAATAACGACCGGATCCTTGTGCGTCACATAGATTCCTACAACATTGACACTGACCAGTGGACACGTTGTAATTTCAATCTGCTGACTGGCAAGTAGCTTTGATTAATGAAATGAAGAATAAGAGCAAATTTAATAAGTTGCTGAACTTGTTTCTCTTAGATACTTTTAACGTATCTCTACCTATCAAGTGCAGAATGAGTAGAGCAAGTAACTTTTATTAAGCAGGAGAGTGTGCATTATTACCTTACAACAAAAGGGCTTGTTCAAGTGGCTGGCACCTGGGGGGTCCTTTATTACCTGTGTCCACTCTCATGCGACGGGGAGAGGCATGTCATAATCAGCCCATATTGACTTCAGAAATTTGATCCATGCAGGAGGAACAAGGCACTGAAAGAGTTAATAACTCTTTACAGAAGCAATTTAGTTTTTATTTGTTTAGTGCCCCTTTTTTTCTTGTTTCTTTTCTTTTCCCCTTTTTTTCTAGAGGGACGGTCTTCATTATTTGTCACTATCAGTCTGTGTAGTCTCCTAGAAATTAAACCCTACAGTAGCTTTGCTCGGAGGGGTTTGGCTGTGCCTCTAGCCACACAGTCTCAAGTAAGCATTTCCACAGGGCAATCCTAGGTGAGGCCCAACTCTGTCCCAAAGAGACATGAGAAAGCAGTAAACAAAATATTCCTGGCGTTTCTATATGGAATTGAAAACTTTTCTCCCTTGTCACCTTGCATTAGTAAGAGCCACAAATGATCAGAGTCCTTCCGGGGCTGCTCAAGTAATAGAAAAATCACAAACTGAACAGTGGGTTAGATTAGTTCCTGAAGACATTTTTAACATGCAGAGTGGGTATTCAGTCATTCACAGTTGCTGCTGGGGGAAGCAACATTGAGAGCACAACCGGACATATATGTAGATGTTACATATTGAGTTGTTTTGCAAAATGATTTTTGCAGCCCACTGTAAGTACTTAGCTCTCAGTTGTAGTGGTAACTCAGACCCTCGATCCCTAGATCCCCAATTCTTCCTGCCATAGGATCCGGCTTATTTATTACTCCAGCCAGTGCTGTGCCAGCTCATCAATAAAAAGACTCTTTTACTCTCTGATGGCCTCCAGGGAAGAATATGTGGTAGTGAGTTATTATGTCTTCTTTTTTGAAATGGGAGGAGAAACCTTTCATCATTTTGGCATGTCAGTACCTAGGGATTATCCAGGCTGGTCCCAGCTCAGGAACTTTAATATAATCTTAAAACTGTTGTGTATGTAAAGAAAGGGAAGGTAGCAACTTTATCATTTTTTTCCTGCCATTTGTCTTCATTTGGGGCACACTTAGGAGCATGGCTCCCTTTTATTGGGTTCTTAGGGTTGCAGCTATTGCTTTACAAATGTAAGCACTTGCCTTAAAAATTCTGTGAGTGTCAGAGGTTGTTTGGCAACTCTAAAACGTAATTTCTGCCACTATAAATTAATGGTAGATGACGTAGAATAGAACTAAAGCTCTACATAGCTTACTATTGCTGTGTTGAGTTTGCTGAGTAATTAGTGTTTTGACCTAGTTATGACCTCATGCAGATTCATTCTCTAGGAAATAGTGGCCTATTTCCCCAAGTACTAGAGGCAGTGATTAGTTGCTGCAAAAATCCCATACCGTATAAAAATGTGCCACAGGGAAACTCTCTCCCCTAGTAGCAAAAGGGTTAATTAAAACGTGCGAGACGTGGATTTTTATCTTTTTATTCAACTCTCCTTACTTTAGGCCAGAATGAATCTGGAGTTGCTGTCCATAATGGGAGAATATATCTAGTTGGTGGATATTCAATTTGGACAAATGAGCCTCTGGCTTGTATCCAGGTGAGTGCTTGGAGTTCCTTTTGAAGTTGCTCAAGTGGTTCAGTAAGGTTACGTTTTGTAATGCAGTTCCTGAAGGACATATTTACATGTAGAAGGAGGCTTTAAGTCCTTTCCTTTTCCTGCCATTGCCTTATTTTTTGTATCACAAATTGTTCATTTCCATAAGTGGTACCTGCGGAAGTGTTTTTCCATCCTAGTGGAGCCTGTGAACAGTAATGGTTTCTCGCTGATCTAAAGAGGAAAGCCTCTGCCCCCAGGAAACAACCCTGGCATGCTGGCCTGAGAGCAGCCCAGGCTGGGCTAAGCTGTTAGCTGGGGGTTTCCGAAGAGCAATAGCATATACATTATTTTATAACTCTTACCATCGTTTCCTGTGTTTTCTGATAAAGTATTGACAAATAATAGGGCAGATTTCTCTCCCGATACCTGGAAAAGTATATCCTTACAGCTGCACATGTTACCTAATTTCATCTTGGTGGGAGATTTCAAACAGCTGCTTCAGTATCTCTAACAGTTTCAGAACCAAGTTCTTTTACTCTTTGGTCACATCTTCTAAGGTATATATTTTAAAGAAAAATTCTACATTATCTATGGTTTCAAAGTTGCTAGCATCTAGTGATGTGTTGTCCTTAAATGTCCACTTACATTCGTAATACTGTCTTTTTTTCTCCTATCTTGCCAGAGGTCTGTCTGGAGATTTTAATATATTTCTATGATTCACACAGATCAAGCAGAAAAAAAAATCAACAAGGGTAAGGGTAGATATGAAAAGCGTAATTCACAAGTTTAGCCATATGGATGAGTTCTGGATTGAAGAGTTAGAATGTGTTTTTCTTAGTACACATGCAACGTTTACACAAGAGATAAGGTTAAGAAAAATTTAGTTTCAAAAATTAAGTATTATATAGTGTTATGTTCACCAATCCAATGCAATTAACTTTGAATTTAACAAAAAGTTAAATAAACTTCTGTTTATCTAGAAATGATAAAACACATTAATCCAAGATTCATCTACAAACCATTAACTGCTATATAATTTATGGGCAAAAGTTACAGAAACTAAATATCTAGAATTGCGTGGGAATGTAATGAACTTAATGAAGTAGGAAATATAGTAGAAAAATTATCAAAGCTGCATGCACACATGTGCATACCCACACACCCACACACAAGTGCGTAAGATTTTGAGAGTTAACTAAATGGAGCCTTGTACAGCAGCTTAGTCTTATCTTCTGGCTGATAACAAATGAGCAAAAGGTTTTCTCCCACAGAATTCTGGTCTTCACCTAAGCATATATCTAGCAGCTTCCAGTTTTTTTTAGATTTAATTTTCACTTTTCAGAATTGATAAACCATTAAACAGGACAATAGATAATGTTTTATAGTACCAGAACACTTTTTAAATGTTGTTGGGACCTTACACTTGAATAATGAAAGTAACTCTGGGTTTATCATGAAGCAAATTTATAAATTTTGAATACATTTCTACTAATCACAGAATCAAACTAGTTCAATAGAAAACAAGTTGAAGCCATAATATGAGAGAATAAAGAAACTGTGTATATATACCATATTCAGGAGACTAGAGTGCTGCCATAGTTCAAAAATTTTCCATACCTGTTCTGGAATACTCTTTAAAAATTAGCTTGTAAGACACAGAACTTAAAAAGCAAAACAAACTTCACAGTCAAGTCATTGATTTTTGTCCCCAAAGAACTTTTCTTTAACACGATCACTGATTTTATACACAGATTTACTGCTAATGATGTCTGGCTTTTCCAGCCAGGCAACCTATCCTCAAGAGATAAAGGGTACAAATGTATATTTTTAATCACTGAGTATATTCAAGAGTATTCTCAGGGTTAAAGTGATTTGAAGGGAGTAAAAAAGTTTCAAACAATGACTGTATTAGTGGATTAAATATCATGAGATTGAAAATAAAATGTCCCAATATATTTGCTTTTCTAAAAGAGTCAGCATATGGGTAATGTTGTATGCCAGTTAGCCATTTTGATGAATAGAATAAATACTCTTGCAAATTGTTTATTCTCTTGGCTGGCATACTGGTCCTACAAAGTAGAGATAAATCTGACAAATGTTTTAAAGAGCTTTTACTGTTAACAGATAATGTATCCATATTGGTATGATTGTCACAGAGATATTGGAGGTAAAAGTCACGTATTATAGACTTATCATTACCTCACATCTTGCATTTTAGTTATCGATGACTGGTTACTTGTATTTCTTCTGAATTAAAGCTTGAATATTTTATTTTATATTATGGGTTCTACAGATCTGTTTTGGTGTATTTAACAGTAATACATTGATGTTGGGGAGACAAGCTACATAACCAGTGTTCAAAAGCAGGCCTCTTCTTTACTAAGAATATCAACAAAGCAGCAGGTTAATGGGAGACTGGAATAGTGTTCATAAGAAAATGTCTATAGACAGTAGAAATTCCTAATTACAAGACAGATTTGGGGCTGGGGATTTAGCTCAATGGCACAGCATCTGCCTGGCAAGCACAAGGTCATGAGTTTGATTCCCGGTACCAGAAAAAAAACCAAAAAAAAAAAAAGAAAATTTAAAAAGAAATTAAAGAAAAAACAATACAGCAGATTGAAAAGTGCAGGGTGGTGGGAGTGAAAACTGTATGCATACTAATAACATCAAAGTTTGTACTTTTTATATCTTAAAAATAATCCTCAATCCATGATCAATGTACAAGCTATTAACCTGAGAGTATAGCCAATTATTGAAGACCATAGTCAAATAGTTCAGGTTGTCCCATTAACATCCAGGAAGATTAAACTCATTTTTTGCTTTCAAAAATACCAGCAAATAACTTCATAAGGATAGTCCTTTTGGACCCTAATCCAAGTTCATGTAACAGTCAGTTGTAGGAATCAGTCACGGGGGAAGATGCATGTGAAATGTTGAGAAAGCGTACTATTTCTTGCTATTGCTCTGATTTGGTGCAGACTTTAATTCATCAAAAGGATGATCCAAGCAAGAGAAAAGCAGAAATGCTCTCAAATTAATATCTGTGTAAAGAATGAGATTTGGACTTGTTAATAATAAAGACTCATGGGAAATACTGGAAATAGATTCCTGACAAAGGCGAAGGTGCTCTAGCTCATTCTGTGCATACATAAGGAAATGTCTGGCACCCAAGCCTGACTCTAATCTGGTGTGCCATGGGTGACAAGCAGTACATGGGGGAGCAGCTGCAGAAGTGTGTAAGTGATTAGTCTGTGCCTGGGATCACTTCTACTGTTTTCTTCATTTACTATTATTTCCTTTTGGAGGGTGCCAATCTGGCACCGCCTTCTTCCAAATGCTTCTGCCAGTTTACAGGGGAGTGTTTTGGAGAAAAACTGCCAATGCTTCCTTTTCCCTTCTCAGATTAAATACATTACATCTGCTTAACATATGCAGTCTCTGTTGGCCCAGGTTACCAGACAAAAGCTCTCAATGATTATCGCGGTTATTTTGCCTTCTAAAAATGCATTCAGTTGGGGGAAGGGATGTAATGAAGGCGCCGAACCCTTGCTCTTCCTGGGTTTCATCCTTGAGCTCAAATACTGGGCTGCTTCACCACTTACAGGCCAAATTACTTTCTTCTCTGTAAACTGAAGACAATAGTTAATCTTACAGACTTCTGAGAAGTATGAAATGATTTCTACTTTCTATATTTATGATATACTAATAAAAAATCCCAGTGGAATTTTCCTTTTATTTTCATGGAGTAGACAAGTTGATACTTGTGAAATTGACCTTAAAATTTATCTTGGAGAGCACAAGTATAATAAACCAAAATTTTGAACATAGATGGAGACTAGCCTTCCCTAGTCAAACCAACTATAGATGTTATGCTTAAGGTATGTAAGTTAATGAGAAGATAAAGTTTATATTTAGTATGTAAGGAATATTTTAAATTAGTACTGACAGGGTATGTCATTCACTAGATTGTGACAGCTAAATGTCCATTTGAGAAAAAAAAAATAAAGGAAACTGCTAAGGATTTTTCATTCTAGGACTTAGTAAATTCTCCTTTCATGAGCTTGGATACCCAAATTTCAAGGGCTTCTTCCATCTAAAATGAAATAATGAATTATTACAGTTAGAAGCTTAAGAGTTAACTATGCAGGTGATAAAGGCATGAGTATAGACAAAATTATTAAAGGATACTAAGAGGTCTGTGGCTGGATTATTGGAGGCCAACACCTGTATTTAGGATGCAGGGGACCAAAGGTGTCCAGCAAGAAGGCAATGTCAACGACCAATTCTTACATACTGTTAAATTATGGAATCCAAGGGAGGCAAGGTATTAAATACAGTTAGAAGGAAGTCAGATGAAGACAGATTAAGATAAGTAAGGGCTGGAAAGAGCCTGATGAGCCTGACAAAGAAAGGAGAGCAGGGGGCTGGGGATTTAGCTCAGTGGCACAGTGCCTGCCTGGCAAGTGTGAGGTCATGAGTTCGATTCCTGGTACCGGAAACAAAAAACAAAAAACAAACAAAAAAAAAAGGAGAGCAGTTTCCTGAAGAAAGAATTTTCCCAGTAGCAAGATTACACCAGCTTCAGTTAGGTGACAGCAGGGACTGACTAACAAAGAAACTATGCCATTCAGTAAGAGACAGAACTCCAGCTTGAAGTGGAAATTTCTAGAATCAACTAGAACCTGCCACAAAGCTGTGCTATAATAATCTACTGTAAACCAGACACATAGCTAGATGTCACCAGTTTTCACAGTAAAGCTGCAAGGTCTTGTTTTCTTTACTTCACAGATGAAGATTTGTAAGCCAATATTATGACATGACCAAAAATCACAAGTAGTCAAAGGGAGCTGTATAATGAAGATAAATAATGTTATCTACTTTATCACTGTTCTGAAGATCGAATAATTATAAGCATATAGTAGATATACATATGGACACACACAGTCTAGCACTTAGTAGGGACTTAAAATCTTTCTAGGATGGGAAACAGCCAACAAACGACAATCCCTAAGGTACAGTAATGGTGGCCGAACTGAGTTTAAATTCAGGCTTGCTTTTATATGTATACAGCTTTGAGTAATTGTCTCTTCTTCTTTTGTAGGTATTAGATGTAAGTAGAGAAGGCAAAGAAGAAGTATTCTATGGACCCACACTCCCATTTGCTTCTAATGGAATAGCAGCATGCTTCCTTCCAGCCCCATATTTCACATGCCCTAACCTCCAAACTCTTCAAGTGCCTCATCACAGGATTGGCACCATCTGAAAAGCCACTGCTCGGTTAATAACCCTCATGAACAGGGGGAAGAGCAAAGGTCTGACCTTTGGATTCTGGGGATGAAAAGCCTGAGTGCTCAATGCGTCCTTGTCCTGTTTTCTATATCTTATAATCAGATAAATATTAGCAAAAAACGAACGATTTTCTAAAATACATTATTAAGAACTCTTCCCAGTGTATGCCAACATACAAAATGTATGACGTGTACTGTGGTGTAGCTTCGTGTCAGCTGAATGGTACATTATTGTCCGATGGGTGTTTAAAGCATTCTTTGTACACTCTTTCTAATCAGTGCTATCTAGGACAACCTGACACTGTTCTTAAGACATTTTCATACAACGGCATCAGTGATCTTAAAATCTTCCTATGTACCCTTCCCATTTAAACATGGGCTTGTAATTTTTCTTTTTAAAATTTAACATTATGCAGCCTTGCTCAGTTGAGATTCAGCGTTATGACATCATAAATTTTTAAGTGCCATATTTTATTCAAGGTGACAGAAATAACAGAAGTACACTGGAACAGCAGCTGGCATACCCATATTTTTGCCTTGGTTACTCTGACCTTGAGCCAAAACTTTTTCATCGTCCTTCAGTTTTCCCACCTTTTAAGGAGCATAATTATTGATTTCCATATTCATTCAAAAGAATGTCATGAGGATTAGGTAAAATGCTGACTTTGCCTAATTAAAAAAACTATAAATTATGAGGTATTTTACTGTCTTGAGAACCCTATAATTGGAGGAGGAGATAATTTTTAAGTTTAGAAATTATTAGTTTGGAAAACATGCTATGGGATTCTGAAAAGCATGTGAAAAAGACATGCCTTTCCTAAGTAGGAAGAGGACATTTACCAACATGAGACACCTCAACTTGTATAAATACTTGCTCAAATGAAAATAATTCTCTTAAATATCTCACTTTAAATCATTTAGTGAAAAATTACATTTTAAAACTTTAAAAAGTTGTACTAATTATGGTAACAAAAAGTGCTTAGACATAAATTTGAACCTAGAATTGGCAGTTCTAATAAAAGTTTTCCACTTTGTTAAAGGTTATGTCAATCTTGAGTGCTTCTGGGCTTCTTCACCACAACGAATATATATTTTATGACTGTCACTTTTAATAATACATAAGAATGGTTTTAGGCTAGGTTTTTAGGGTTGCTTCATTCAAAACAATAAATAAAACCTCATAATCATGTTGGAACACACATTCGGTGAGTGTAATCTATGTTTCTTTTCTCCACTCTCACCATGACTTAAGGTCATCTTTATGAAAAGGAAAACTACTATGACTTCTCCCCCCACAAATTCAATCATTCAGGAATCTCTCTCTAACAGGACACTGTAATTTTATGCATGTAACCATTTTTAGTATGGTTAGTGAATGAAAAGTGAGCAAAAATAAAATCTTTTTTGTCTTAGGTACAGAATTTACTAACTTTAAAATATAAATGACTTATTCAGATCAAAGAAGAGGTGGAGGTACTAAAGGTTAAGGAAAGGAGGGTAGATTGTATTTTAAAGAGAAAGGTAGATCTTAACAACAAAATGTAGACAGAAATCTTGGGAGCTGAACAGTGAAAATTGGTATTGGTAATGACAATTGCTTCTTTAAAAGGTAGGTAAGTCACCTGAATTTTAAATACTTTAGCAACTTAAGAAAATGGACACAAGCTCCTTTCTTGCTATTTTATCTTATAAAACCATTAAAATCTATTTGTACTCACAGACCCCTCCATCCAATGAATGAAAGCAAAATGATCTAAAAATAAGCTTGCTTGATTGTTAATGGAAATATAGCCTGAGACGACCCTTGATTATTTCTGTGTAGATTTCTGACTACTCATATAAAACAAATCAGCATATATTATCAAATCCTTCCTTGGTGATCTTATAATATATTATTCACTTATATTACAGAATTGAACTCACAATTTTAGGAAGTTTTGCATAGAGTTCAAACACATCCTTCATAGCTATAGCAAAAGAGTAGCATCACAAGTATGGTGTTCCTCCCTAAAAAGAACAAAACTCTGCTGACTTAAAATTAGAAACTTTTCCTCAAAAATATCAGAGAAAAAAATGTATAGGCTGTATTTAGTCATGTAAGTCAAATTCCATTGAAACTAATAGTATATATTTTCTATTTAAGTGAAATACCCATTTTATTTTAATTTCTATAGAAAACCCTAACATTTCAACCATTTAATCCACACTTCAAGATTTTACTTTTAAAAAAACCCAAAAAGCAGTTCCACATGGACCTTCGTATTCTTGCTATGGGAGGAAAACCAGTTAAAATATTACTCTCTAAACCAATGTATATGCAAAATACAATAAAATTTTTTACATATTTTTTTAAAATGCCATTTAGATTATGATTAGGGTACTTTCCAAATTTCTTCATGTTTTCCTCATATGTCAAGTGAATATATATTGTATCCACCTCAGGCACAGCAATAGCTGAAACATTCTACTATTTTACTACTAAGTATAAAAGCGTCACATTATGGGTTTTTGAGTTTTTTTTGGTTTTGTTTTGTTTTTCAATAGTAAACCTTTTACAAAAAGGAGGTTGAGTAATTATGGGCACAATGTAAGTCTAAATATATACGTTTTTCTTTAATGTGTGTGTGTTTGTGTGTATACATAAATACCTTTAATTTTTATTCTATGTATAAATAATTTATAAACACTACATATAAAATAAGAATGCCCAGAATATTTCTACAAGCACAATTCACAAATACAGTAATTGGATAATTTTAAGTACATCCAAAGTTCTAATAAGTAGAAACTGGCCAATTACAACCATTTAGTAGTGCTTTTGGTAAACTTACCATACAGGTTACCACAATGTAGAAATAAAACTGTCATCTCTAACTATGTGACAGAAGATGCTACTTTGGTAGCTCCCCAAGTTTTAACCCAATAAAGCATGTTATTTATACTGGCATACTATACTGTCACATGACAAGGCAATATTTTTAACTATTGGAAAGGTAGGCAGGAAATGTTTTCGGAACATGTAAATTTATGTAAAAAAAAACCTACCTATCAAACAGCAGTGGCTTAGTCCAACAATTCAATTTCTGGTGAGGTTTCTACGGTATTTACCTTATATCTTTGAAACATGAGTGCTTACAGCATGGAGGCTTTAGAGAGGGTAGATTTCCTAAAGGCTTTTCCAAAATGCAGAAACTCCAATTTTTATATAATATATAATTTTAACTGTTAAATATTCTGTGAGAGTACAGACCAACAGGCCCATTGTGATTCTTGTTAGGCAAACATCACAGAATATACTTATACAGACCTAGAGGGTGTACGCCACTCACGTGGCCTCTTGATGCTCAAGAGATGTGGTAAACATTTCATGTATGAGGCTGCCGCCACTGTAAAACAACATACTGTTTTAAACTTTTCTTTTTATAATAGGAGCATTTCAAAAGGAGAAAAAGGAATAGTAAGTACATGAATCAGTAACATAGTTATTACTATTAAGCATCATATGCTACACATGATTGCACTTGCTATACTTTAATGACTGGTGGTATAGGTTTGTTTACACCAGCATCACCACACGCGAGTCATGTGTGGGCCTTGACAATGTGAAAGCTATGTCACTAGGCAACAGCAACTTTTTCACTCCGTTACAACCTTATGAGGTCACCTTGATACATGTGGCCTATCATTGCCTGACAGGTCATAAGGCAGCATATGACTATATGGTTAAGAAGAAAAGAAAATATAGTAGGGATAAAGACATAAGAGCTTTAAACTGTGAAATTCTAATGCACATGAACTCAATACTTAACAATTTTTGCATAGACTCTTTTTTTTCCTCCCCTGTGGAAACCTTCTAATTGTTAAACTGAAATTTAAATCATTAGCAGATCTTAATGTCCAATAAAGTGTATTTCATCATTCTGTTGCCCTTCAATAATCTTTTATACTCAACTTGCTGTTTTATAGATTCTGTTTGACTGGAACGCTCACATGTCCACAATGTGTAGTTTTTCTACTTAAGTATTTTTAAGTTGCTATATAAGTGAAATAAATGTATGTCACTTTAATTTCTGTATAAAGAGATGGTAAACCAGACTGACAAAGTGAATGAATGTGGCATTCAGAGAAAGCAGCTGAGTCTTTTGTTCGGAAAGAGTTAAGTTTGAAAAGGTCCAGTCATAGTGCTGGTCTCCAGACTGAGGGGTGTTAACATCTGCATATAAATAATGAGTTACTGGAGGTCCTTCACAGAAGTAACAGGAGAAAAGTACTTTAGGAACACTAACTTCTGGATTGTGTGTAAAGTAAACTGTAGGAAAAGGAGCTACAGGTAAAGAGAGAGTATAGTGCCTGACAGGAAACAAAACAAGAAACCTCTTGATCCCAGTCTCCTGTGCTAAAGATTTCTCTCTGTACTGCTACTCTCTTACCTTTTACTGTGCTCCTTCCTGTTCTCTTTTATTTTACTCTTTATTTTTACTCTGAGTTACATAAGAGAAACTATGTAATATTTAAGCTTGTGTGTCTGATTTATTTCACTTACTAATATGGTCTCAAGGTGCATCTATTTTCCTAAAATGATTCTAGTTTATCCTTTATGGCAGAGTAGTACTCCACAGGGAGGGGAGGGATACAGGATGATTAAAAAGATGAGTTAGGATATGTTATATACATGTGCTGCTCCATACAAGGAATGTAAATGTACTGGAAATACGTATTCCCCCCCAAAAAAAGGAAACTAGGGGATCAACAGGAGGGGTGGAGGGGGAAAGGGGCTAAAAAAAGTAAGATATCTTATGGAAATGTAACAACTTGCCACAAGGAATGTGAACATTAGGTACTACACACATGTACTAACAGAATAAAATTAAACAATGTGGATTCCAGAGGAGAGAGGGGATTAGAAGGGGTGGGGAAAGTAAGGAGATGGAGGGTGGGAGGGGATGGGGGCGGCTCGCTCGTGCTGACGATGGACTAAAAGGGGGAAGGATGAAGGATCTGGATGCCTGCAAGTTCCAAGGGTAAGCAGTGAAAAAACAGAGTAGCCCATGGGTAGAGAAACAAAGCAAGGGCTAGTTGAGACTAGAACGTGACATAGAAAGCTCGACAGCGGCCTTGAGAATCAGAAGAATCCAACTAGGGAGGTTGAGAAATAACGTATTAGAGATAGATCTGAGGGACAAAATTATGAGCCAGTGCTATCAGCTCATTACTAAAGGGACGTGAGACAGAGCAGCTGAAGGGCCACATCTTACTACCAGGGACAAGAAAGAAAAGACGATGAGCTTGCTCCCAACACAGTGCAAGCAGAAAGGGGCAGGACCTGAGGAAGAGACAGGAAGAGAAGAGAAAAATGCAAATGGTACAGAGATGCCACAGAAGTGAAACCATTATCTCAGATTTGACCAACAAAGAGTGAAATGGTGGAAGAGCCTTAGAAATTGCAGAGTATTTAAGAGGACATGAATGTGAAGGGAAAAGGTATAAGGTAAAGTCCAGAAATGGAAGAAGACAAGATTACTGAAATGAAATTAGTGAAGAATTTTCCAGAAAGGGAACTGAACCATAAGTTTTCTTCAGCTGAAAAGAGCTTTTTTTTATACAAAACTATAAAAAAAAGTATTGTTACGGATTTTATGTTGTTTTGGGTTTTACATACAAGCTTTAATTATTCTTAGCATCTACCGATATATGCCCTAATGCATGATTTAGTTGCAGCTTTTCCTATTCCTGAAAATTTTCATATTCTGAGGAGCAAGGAGGATTCTAAAACATCTTTGACAATCTTCCTTGGAGGACAACACACCTCTTTAAAGGGAATGCCTTAAAGAGATAAAACTTCTTTAACTGCTGAGACATTCAAAGCATACATTCTTAGTTCACTAAGTTACTATTATAATAAAATGAAATTTCATTGCTAGGAAATCTTTAAGCAGCCTTTAAAAACCTTTTATTCTTTTTAAGGAAGTAATGACAGTTGATTTTAGGGAAAAACAGACCATTTGTATATCATGAAAATAGCAGCTATACTTTTGGATTCTAAAGACCACAATTAAGAGACAATTGTAACTGCATTTTATTTATTTATTTGATGATGATGATTTTGTTATTACTGTTTGCCATTTCAAGGATCAAACCCAGGGATGTACACATAATAGGCAAGTATGCTCCCACTGAGCTGTACTCTCCGCCTCCATTTCATTTTTAGAGATAACTTTTGAGTCACGAACAGGTTGGACTGTTTTTCTTTTGTGATGCTGGAGATTGCACCCAGGGCCTTGGGCATGCCAGGCAAATGCTTCACAACTGAGCTACCTGTCCAACCCTAAAATGTTTCTTTGAAAGAATGGTAGAAGTATGATAAAGATTACAATCCCAAGAAGGGAACTAATCATAAATTAAAACATGACATGTATAAAGACACTAAAAAACGGGGTCATCCATCTAGGATGTATCATTAAGGAAAAAATTTGAGAGGTGTTCTTTAATCTCACGTGCGTAGTACAGTAGTCGTGTCTGGACACCTCTAAACACAATACAGACCAGCATCTTAACATGTATTATTCACTAATTCATTGTGAAATGCTAACTTTTTTTCTCCATTAAGGAAATAAGTTCACAAAAGGTAAACAACTTGCTCAAGATCACAAAAGGGGGCTGCACTTATACCCACATGGGTTCCAAACACTAGAACTAAAGCGCCTTCTACCAAATAATGGTCACCACAAAAAGCAGGCAGGCCTAAAGGGAGAAATGGACAACCCAGATAGCTGAGAAGAACAGCTGCTAAATAGTCACAGGTTCTTTGTAAACATATAGGATGCCAAGTAACAAGAGCAAGGAGATGGATCTGCTGACCTCTCAGGCTTCTGTGACCGGTAATCGTTAAGTTTCCAAAATATTATTCATTCTCTTAAAGGCTCTGCAGCTCTTCCTCCCTCATATACTTCTTGATGACACCCCTAAAGCAAAGATGAGAAAAAAATCTGGCAATTCTTGGAAGCTAAACATAAATACCACTGGTATATGTTTAAAACTTTTTAAAGATATCATCTGTATAGTCCTTCAGTGAGGTTCTGATCATGGAGAGTTCAGCCAGCTTTGTAAGGGTTTGGTTCATTAACTTCCCTTGCTCATTAATGAAGGAAAACAAATATGGTTCCATCTTCTGACATCCCTCTGGCTCCCCACAGAAGGCAACAAAGCCCCAGAAAAGAGCAGCCCGGTATTTTTAAAAAATACCATAGTACAACAAAAGCTTTACAAACAAACAATCCAGCATACTGATCGGAAGACAAGACGTCACACTAGAGTAAAAAGTTCATGGATGGAAAAAAAAAAAAAAGTTCATGGATGGACCAACACAAACTCATGCAGAAATCACTGCTAGTTAGAATTCACTAAAACCTTTACAAAATAGATTGCGATTTTGTAAAGTTCCAAGGACCCTATTACATAATTACCAATTAACTTTTATTTATTTGTATACTTTATACTTACAGGTATATCAGGAAAAAAATCCTAGAAATTATTTTTAATAAAAAATAATACAATTAATTAAAGTAGGAGCTGGAGTAGTACAAGGTGGCTTTAGCGATAATCAATACACAGGATAAATAATAAAATATATTATGTATTATCATTTTCCAGTCTCTGTATTTCATGTTGTCCCACCTGTCCTAGGTGAGATAAAAGTTTTCTATAGGTCTCCCTGGTTAAGAAAAAAGAAAAGAATGTGTATTTAGTACAACACTTAAAAAAAATAATGCTTTATACATATACTGTGAGTAAACCTAGGCATTAGAATTTATTCAGTTTTAAATACACACACACACACACACACAAGTGGGTTAAAATTTATTTATTTTTGGTACCAGGAATTAAACTCAGGACCTCGCACTTGCCAGGCAGGTGCTGTGCCGCTGAGCTATACCCCCAGCCCTAAAATTTATTAATCATTTGAAAAAACATAATGGGCATAGGTTATAAAATATGTTCATGAAATACTGCTTAAGGTCAATGATGATATGATTCCAATGGGAAGACTTGTTCACAAACAATATAAGAAGTTTACAACCCTAGAACAGACCTATAAAACAATGTTAGTACGTACTCCATTTTCTTTACTATCTTCACAGAAGTAACAAAGTTTGAAAATAAAACAATGCTTCTCCTATTAGGTATTCTAGTACATTCCTGTATTTCAGATGCAGTTGTTATGCCCTACAGTTATTTCATTAGTCTAAATAACTGTGTTGTTTAAAATTTTTTTTTTTTTGGTTTTTCTCTGGTACCAGGAACCGAACTCACGACCTTGCGCTTGCCAGGCAGGCGCTTTGCCGCTGAGCTAAATCCCCAGCCCTGTGTTGTTTAAAATTGTTGAACCCTTTATTGGGCTGATGTGGCTGCACAGAGCAGGACACAGCAGGGTATTTGTCCCCAAAACATACCAAGTTAGGATGGTTCACACAGTCTCTCCAGTCCTTTCATTCATGTTTAAAAACAGCTTAGGAGTTAGATATTAGAGAGTTCTTTGTGTGAGGTTGTTTTGTGACACGACAGAAAACATCGTTCCTTCGAAGCTGATCTGAAGTGTTTCCCTTTCCTCTTTAGCAAAGTGCAAGAGGCAGCCACGGTATTCTGTATGAGAAGCAAAGAGATGCTCCACCCTGCTGCAAAAAAGTTACGTAAGGGTGGTCTCTGGCGTTTCCATTTTAAAAATGTATTTTATTGTACTGAAGAGATGGATTCTTTAGTTCACAAAAGCTCTAATCAAAATAGTCATGTCTCCAAGCAAGATCTCAATATACAGTGAAAAACTTTAACTAAAAATATGGCTATTAGATTGTACATCTACAGATACACACATACACATGATGTGATTAAAATATTTGATTCATTATAAATTGTATTACATAAGAATCCTCTTGTGAGTACTGACTCCTGTAGAATAATCTCTTTTGGAACTATAGACTTATAAGATTGTATTTCTCAAAATAGTCCAGCACTGTTTTGGTTTGGTCATAGGTTTATAGAAAAAAAAAGTGCCTAGTTTTGACTAAAACGGTTGGATCAATTGTGTCGCTTATTTCATTAACTGGACACACATGATGCAGCTGACCTGATAAATCAGGCAGCCTCTGAGGTTAATTTGTCACTGGATTTTCTAAAAGACAAGACACGTGCGGCTCTGAAGATCACTTCTCAGTGAAGAACACTAAATGTGGTTTGGGCATGGCGGCATCTCTGAAACACGTAGCTTTCTAAGGTGATCATTTGGAAAGGAACAACATGTGAACGGGTATGTAAATTCTGCAAAGTCTGTTACTGAACCATGGCACTTTCAAATCACAAAACTGGCAATGGAGCCCCAAAACATTTTCAGCACACAAAGGCACACTCTCAATTTTTCAAATGAGAAAACATGCCATTTCTATAAATCGAAATACAGATTTCATAATCATCACCCAAAACAATGTAACAATATCATCAAACATACCTTTGTTCAGTATTCTTGCCAAGACCCCACTTCAGCTCAGAGTCCTTCAGAGACTGAGTGAGGGTAGAGATCAAGTGGATGACAACCTGCTGGTTCAGTGTTGCCACTGTCTCTAAAATGCCGTAAACTTGAGAACTGTATCTTACTCCGTATTCCTGGATAAAATGCCTAAAAATTAAACACATTACTTAAGGTTCTGGGGTCCAGAGATAGTGGGAGGGGAGAGGGAAGAGTGGGGAAAAGGACTTTAAAAGGATTAAAATGTACTATGTATAGATACCAACTCCCGGCAATGCATATGATTATTATGTGCTGACAACATGTGCTACTAATAATAAACAATGGATCCAGAAGTCCAGGGAAAAAAAAGATTTTGGGGTAATTTCCCTGGGTTGGTATTTACACTGCAATCAACTGTAACCTGATAGCTGGGCATGGTAGCCCACACTTGTAACCCCAGCACTCCGGAGGCTGAGGCAGGAAGATCCTTGCAAGTTCAAGACCAACCTGGGCTACAAAGTGAGCTCAAGTCCACCCTGAACTGCATAGCAAGACCCTGCCTCAAAAAGACAACAAAATAAAAAATAAAGTATAACCTGATATAGAGAACTGAAAGTCTTATTTCAGTGAGAGGCTAGACACAGTGATGGCATTGGGAGTAGGAGGGAAAAGCTCACAAATACAATCCCAATGGCTTTGTACTATGCTCACTTCATTGAAATCCAGGTGAGAAATGTGTAGACAGGAAGAAGGTTAGGTTTCCTGGTTATTTTTCAGTCTTTCTTATCTCTGGATAGACCCCACAATATTCCTATGAGGAAATCAAGTTATTTATAATATAACTTTATGTTCTTTAACTGAACAAGAGACATTATACCTACTGAGATTCTGCATAAGCCTGAGGCAGGAGGACAGCTCCAAGTCAGAGGCCAGCCTGGACTATATAGTGAGTTCAAGGCCAGCATGAACTACACAGTGAATCCCTGCCTCAAAAAATGTAAAAAAGGGGCTGGGGATTTAGCTCAGCGGCAAAAGCGCCTGCCTGGCAAGCGCAAGGTCGTGAGTTCGGTTCCTGGTACCGGAGAAAAAACAAAAACAAACAAACAAACAACAACAAAAAAAAAAAATGTAAAAAAAAAAGTCTGATAAATAAAAGTAATATATTTTAAGCCTAAAATTTCCATATCTTCCAGTCAACAAGAGTCAATAAGTCGTAGATTAAAAAAATTTGATCTCTGATTACATAAAATTCTTTCCCCCTCTGCAGGGTTTTACAACTTTAACAAATCCACTGTTATTAAGTGATCACAAGTTAAATAAACTATAAATGTTGTGCAAATGCTAACTTCATAAGGGAGAAGCTGAGGGATCAAAGATCCAACACAAAATGAAGGGAATAGACTCCAAATTATTTATCAAAGTACCAGGAAGTTAGAGTTATGTATAGTGAGGGTAAACTTAGGAACCTGGAGGAAGAAACACAAAGAGAAAAAAAAAAAATCTGTCCTAACAGAAGGCACCAGACTCTAAAAGAGGCAAAGCAGGCAAGAGAAAAAAGAAGAAAATGATCATCAAGTTGCATTGTTATTCTCATGAACAACAGATCCACTCTATACAGCCTGTACTTCACAAAGTAAACATACGGGGATTTTCTGGAGCTGCAGTATCTAAAGCAAATGAAAAACCCAGGACTTTTACCAGGGTCCTGAGTAATATAGGCCAGCACACACTGAAGCCCATGCACCTGTTGTCATGATGCACATTTCCCCCTTCTTCCTCTCCAACACATGCAAGACTCTTATTAAATTTACAGTAATTTTATGTCAACTTCCTGTGCTTTCCCTTGGAGCTTTTATTTTTCAATACAATAATACAATGTTAACAAAACTACTGCCAAAAATATAATAACTGAAATATTATAAACAAGTAGTAACACATCATGTTTTGGATAATTAGTTCCTTAACAAACATGCTGGCTGTCAAATGGCTAGCACTCGTCTCTTTGCCAATTGGCATATTTTGCAGTTACCTAAACACAGAAGTCAGCTGGGTGGCAGGTTCTCCTTCTGACCCCACTTGGCAGGCTTTTACCATGTACTGCAGGTTCTCTGTGGCCAGCCTTTTAACTAGGAGGAAAAATCACAGCATCACACAGCGTCTGAACTGACCATCTGGATTCTCACTTTTAGCACTCTTGATTTAGAAAAATATGTTGTTTTCTTGAAGTATGTACATGCTTTTGTGTTAATTTTCAAAATGAAATAGTTATGAGGTTTTTTTTTGTGTTCTAAAGTACACCTAAACGTTTGTCTATTTTTGAGTCTTAAAGCTGAAACTATACGTGTGAAGATGTTTTTCTCTTAGCAATGTGCCCATATTCAAAAATACTACGATGTCCTAATCTCCAAGCAGTGTTACATATTGACAAAAGAAAGTCTTTAAAAATTCAGATTTAGAATTAAACAGGTTTATTATTTTTAAATTCGTAAGTATATTCCTCCCACTGCTCACAAGTATATAACAAGCTTGTTACTACCAACAATTTATTTTCACTTAAAATTAAACGTATACTGTATATTAAAATGAAAACTATTTGTGATATCTTCGTTTTAAAAGATAGCAAAGTTTAGAAAAAACATTTGTAGTCTTTAAAGATAGAACAAGTCTTTTAAAATTGTGGGCTTGTGCTCCTAAACACACAAAAATGTACCTACGGTTTGGATCTTAGATTTCCTGTGAAGGCCCGTCTATTAAACACAGGGTCCTCAGCCCTCAGGCCGCTGGGAGTGGTGCAACATTTAAGAGGTGGGACCCAGGGGATGAAATGAAGACGACAGGGCTGAGCTCTTGGAGGGGATCTTGAACCTCAACCTCTCCTATCACTCTCTGCTTTTGCTCCCTGTGGACAGCAGCCGCCTCTCACACACGCTCCCTTCAGGATGTTCTACCTCACCACAGGCCCAGAAGCAAACTGCCAACTGATCGTGGAGTAAGCCTTCAAACCCGTGGGTCCTCTTTTTTAGTATATGTATTGCCAGAGCAAGCACAAAACATCCCTCTGTTTTAGTTGATTATATCAGGTATTTTGTGACATAAGCTTAATAACACAGCTATCAATAAAAAAAAAAAAAACAGAGAAAACCGGACAAGTTCTGAATGCTACTAAAGTATTGTTACGATGTTTCTGGCAGATTAAATAGCAAATATTCAAGAAGAAAAGTGTTTCTTCGAGACTAAGAAAATTTCCAGAAATGAATACATTACAACACAACCACAAAACACGATAAATGTGAATTTAAGTTAATAGAAAGTAGTAGACGTTTTTCATGGCATGGAGCAAGTGGATAAAGAACATACAGCATACTGTTGCTACAGAACAAACTTTCGTAACCTCTACTGAGCGCAATCCTAGGATCAGTATAACTTGTCCTTTTAAAAAGATGTCTTCTTGAAAAAGAATCGAAAGGTCTATGGAGAAAGTATCAGAACACAAGGACTCCTACATTATTGAGCACTGGCTTTTCAAATAACAACTTTACTGAAATATAAATAATATAGTGCTAACCTTTGAATTATAGTATTCAACGGTTTGTAACGCACTCAAAGTTGTGAAGTCACCATGAGAACATTTTCATTACTCCTGGAAAAAAAACCTTACACCTATTTCATCAGCAGTCATTCCCTATATTTTAACTCCTCTAGTCCCTGACAATCACTAACCTGCTGCCTGTATATACAGATTTGCCTATTCTAGAAAACTCATATATACAGAATCATACAATGCACTTTTCTGCAACTGTCTTCTTTCTTTTGCTTCACATAATGTGTTAAAGTTTGTCCACATTACTGAGTGAATCAGTATTTCATTCCTTTTTCTGGCTGAGTAATATTCTGTTGGATGGATTTACAACATATTGTTGAACAATTTGTTAATGGGCATTTGGATTGTTTCCATTTTTGATTATTATGGATATGACTGTTTTAAAATATTCATGTACACATTTTTAAAATCTTGATTTTTTTTCTTTAACTGAACTGAGCTATCTTTTAAAAACTGGGTAATATCATTTTTTTAAAAACCAGCTGCATTGTCATATAATTCACATATTATAAGTTCACCCATTTAAAAGCGTTCATAGTGCAAGGGTTTTTAATATTTTCAGAGTCATGCAACCATCACCACAATCAATTTTAGAATATTCTCATTATCTCAAAAAAGAAATTCTATATCCTTTGGCTAACCTGATGCCTCTTAATCACTACTCTACTCTCTGCCTCTATACAGATTTAGCCATCACAAATATTTTATGTAAATAAGTAGTTTTAGTGACTGAGTGCTTCCACACACTGTCACGTTTTCCAGGTTCACCCACATGATAGTACATGTCAGTACCTCACCCTCTTTTGTGGGTCAAATAATACTCCAGTGAATGGGCATACCAACATTTAAAAATCTATGCATTGAGTCTTTAACTGCAGCGCTTATTACTGCTATAAACATTAAAAGTTTCTACATCAGCACATTTTCATGTTTTGGAGGTATATACATATGCAGGAGTGGAATTGCTAGGTCATATGGTTACCATTTTAACCATACAGTAATCATTTTTAACCATCTGAAGAATAAGCAGGCTGATTTTCAAATTGGCTACACCATTTAATATCCCCAACAGTGAAAACGGGGGTTCTGATTTCTCCACATCTTCCCCAGTTATTATTATATGAAGTTCTCCTATAGCTGACTTAGTAAGTATGAAGTGCTACTTCACTGTAGCTGTGATTTGCATTTCCTTGATGACTAATTATGTATAAAACCTTTTTCAAGTGTTTACTAGGCATTTATCTTTTTTGAAAAAAATGTTGAGATTCACTGCTCATTTCATTTTTTTATTCGATTATTTCTTTTTATTACTAAGAGTTCTTTATATATTGTAGATACAAGTTCTTTATCAGAGGATTCACAAATATTGATACTGTTCTTTGAAAAACAAAAGCTTTTAATTTTGACTATGTCCGATTTATCTCCCTCTTTTGTGGCTATGCTTTTGGTGTCACATATAAGATTGCACTGCCAAATCTAAGGTAATGAAGATATATCCTTATGCTATCTTCCAAGAATGTTATAGTTTTTTGCTCTAACATTTAGGGTTCTGTTTTTTTTTTTTTTTTTTTTTTTTGAGACAGGTTCTCGCTTTGTATGCAGGCTGGCCTTGAACTCACAACGATCCTCCTGCCTCAGCTTCTTGAGGGCTGGGGCTATAGGTGTGTACCACCAACCCAGCTGTAACATTTAGGTTAATGATTCATCTTGTTAAATTTTGTATATGCTGTGAATGACAGTCCAATGTAATTCTTTTGCATATGGCTCTCTGTTTGACCTACAATTTGTTATCTGTCTCCCACTAAATTGTCCTGGTTCCCTTATTTTTTAAAAAAGTTGCACATAAACAAAATGAGTTTATTTCTGAACTCAGTTCTATTCCATTGATCTGTATGTCTATCCTTAATGCTGATACTGTTACCTTGATTGCTACTGCTTAGTATTAAGCTTTGAAATCAAGAACTGTAAATCTTCTGACTTTTTCAAAATGAATTAGTATATTCTGGCTCCCTTATTAATTCCACTGGAATTAGCAATTCATATTGAACTAGTTTTTAGTATAACCATTTCAGCTTTCTGTGGTTGCTGTCTGCGTGATGTGTATTGTTCACACCTTGACTGCCCAGCTGTATGTATGTTCGAATCTAAAATAGTTCCTATTGTCATTATAGAGGTTAGATCTTCTTTGTTAAATATACCCTCATAACATGTGCCTTTTAATTGGACCACTTGATCCTTTCAAATCTAATATTATCATTTATAGTTTTACAGGGGCCATTTTTTCTTTTTTTAATTTCATGTGTTTTTTTTTCCCCTCTAGGTTTGTTTACTATTTTCTTTTTGCACTGAGTATTGTTAACGCAGCATTTTAAATTCTTTAATGAGTTTTCATTATTTGTAAATTATTTCCTTAGGAGTTACACTACACTAATTACATACATTTTAATTTAAACTAAGTCCAGTGAACTACAGACATATAAATTCTCTGTAACTGTATTTCCCTTTTTCTGTAGCATTTTTATACATATTACATCTATAAATGTCACAATTATAAATACTGTTCATTATTATTATTATTTTTGGCTTTGGTTTTATCACTTTCAAAGCAGTAAGGAAACTACAGATCTTAAATGCTGCGATACTGAACACCTGGATTGTCACTTCTGGCTTTGTTATTTGGTATTTCAGTTAAACGTTTCTCCACTTGCTGTGTATTTTTAGTACCTTTCCAAGAGAATTGCCAAGACAGAAAATGTTGTCCTTTAAGTAATTTTCACCATTTTTTCTGGGGAGGAGCTTTGCAGGGTTCTTCCTATTATCAAGCCAGAAGTGGAACTTCTCAAACGATGTATGGAGTTTTGTGTGGACATTTTATCTTGAGCACATACCTACGGATGGAACTGGTGATTCATGTGGCAGCTTTAGATTTCTATGATTTTACAAAGTGTCCTTTTAAACACTGAGAACACAGGAGAGCCGTAGACAATTTTCTCTAAGCCAGTCATGTAGATCTCTGTTTCATACTGTTCTTTCGGCTTAGAAAGAGAGCAACACAGAAAGGAGCATTCTGTCTTCCATCTACGCTGAACATGATATATTCACTAGCTAGATGTAAGCAACAACATATGTCTTCTGAACTCTGGTCTCCTTCGTGAGAAAATGCTGCTGTCATGAAAACAACAGAGTAGCTTATGCTTATACAGTGGTGTTCTCCTTATCCTCAGAGGACATGTCCCAAGGCCCCCAGGGGATGCCCCAAACTGTGATAATACTGAGAACTATATATACGCTATTTTATATATGTGTATGTGAATATATATATATATACGTATATATATATGTATACAATAAATACAATAAAATTTGATTTCTAAATTGGTCACGGTGATATATTAACAATAGTTACATGGTAGAACCCTATACTGTAATAAAAATCATGTGAACAGGGTTTCTGTTTCAAAATGATCTTATTGTACTTTCAGCATTTTATGGCTTCTTTGGGCTTCAGCATGTCTTCACTGTCAGCATCACAATGCTTGCACTTTGGAGCCCTTATTAAGTAAAATGAGCATTGCCTGAACACAAGAACTATAATGTCTATTTCATAATTGAGAAAACTATGAAGTGACTCACAGGTAAGTAGCATATACCATGTGGATATAGTGGACAAAGGAATGATTTGTGAGATACCAGCATGAGGTACGGTCTCTGAGGGTGTGTCCTGGAAGGCTTTCTCTCCCTCCTAGCTCCTTGCTTGGTTCTTCTCCACTTTCTAGATCCAATGCCTTGAGAAGTTCTCCTCTGTCATGCCCTTCTGCTGATCAAACAAACCTCTAGATAGGCACAATTTAAAGCTTAGGAATTATTTCTGGAATTTTACATTTATTACTTTTAACCACTGTTAAGGATAATTAATTTATCTGACTGATCTTTTGGTCCCACCACTTAGAAGTCCTGGCTCATAACTGGTGCTTAATGATATTTGTTAAGTGAATAAATGAAAGTGAGAATTCTTCAGTTTCTAAAATAAGTCCAGACAGGTACAGAAGGTACCTGTAACCACATAAAGCAAAACTGTGGATAAAGGGCAACTACTATACTCCCTGTTCTGTCAGCAGTTTTGTTATACAGTACAACAGGCTTTCCCTAAAGTTCAAAGTATGGATAACTTTTCAATGAGGGCAAAGTTTCTAGAGTCTGGGGGCCACTTTGGGATATTCTCTAGTGAACAAGCTACTACTAGAGTATATCCATTTAAACAAAAGTGTATTTCATTTAAACATGACATTTTTTGCAAACCTAGGGTTAGAAGCAGAAATAAACATTTTAAATACTGAAATAAATATGCATTAAAAATATGCATGTCTTTGAGATAAAAAGGAGCTTTCAAAGTGTTGTTTGAGCTTTCTACTACCACTTTGGGCACTGCCCTCGGAGTCTTCAGGGTATGCATTTTATTCATTTATCTTAACAGTTAAAAGTACTTACGTGGAAACATTTTGAGATGCCCTGCCTTGAACAATCACATTATAATGATAAACACACATAGAACACTCTATTTACATTCAAAATTCTTCCATGATAGAACTATGAGGAGTTCTGCATATTCCCAATAAGCTTATTAAAATATGTTACAGTAGAGATTAAATAAGTGATATTTTAAAACAATCAGTAGAAGTAAAGGTGATGAGACTGAAAACAAAGGGACCAGAATCAAGATCCTTATAAGTTTTGCCCCAAATCAGCTCAGATATTCAGAAAGTTGTACAGAAGAAAGTCACTGACCTCTCACCACTTGATATTTAACAAATTGCATCTAATACTGCAGTTAGGCTGAACAAATATTCTTTGAGAAGTTAAGAAGGCTAATCAAAAGAAATGGCACATTAACTAGTTGTCTCAAGTGGAAAAAAAAAAAGGTATGGAAAAAACTCCAGTAAAAAAGACTGAAATATGCCAGCTTTAAACCATTTTATCAAACTTAACCTCAGGTATTGGTTGGTATTTATTGTGCAGCCATGACATACAGTAGAGCAACAGATGTGAAATGGCATACTCTTTTATAACTATCAATTCAAATGATAGGACACAGTAGATTCTAACTTGTAACAGAAAATAATGACAAATCAAGTTTATAAACAAACTAACCTTGGGGATCATTGATCAACACCAAACACTTTAAGATGCCAGGCAGGAGTAGTTCAATCTCACAAGAATCTACATTAGTTTCCTTGAAGAGTTGAAGGATGAAGGGCAAAATGGAAGCTAAGCGAGGAATGGGTGCAGACCCTTTATATTCAAAGTAGGATTTCCTGAAAAGCAGAAATAGTTTATTTTTTTCTTCTATTTAAAGCTTCATTAGAGCTGAAACAAATGTTATGTACTTTAAAGATATTGGTAAATTTGCCGCCCAAATGAATACAGTTTTTCAAAGAAGTGTGTATTTTTCCATGCTATCTTCGAACAAGATTTTAGGAACCATGACGGCACATACTTCTGGTGTGCTACTATATGCCAGAACAACACATACATAAACTAAATTAAATCACATGACTTTACAGTGAATTCAAACCTAATTATTAATTTAGGTTTTTTTCCCTTTCTAATATAAGTCTGGTCTCTCCAATCATGTCCTTAATGCTTCCACATTTCCTCTACTGTCCAATTTGCATACACAAATATTCTCCAATGGAAGGGTTTTCTCTTTCCAAAGAAAAGGAGTGTCCTAGGAATGAATTTCCATTCCAGTCATATCTTTTTCCTTCCTCCCATCAGGATATACATCAGAGAACTAAGTGAGGACTGAATATCATCTCTCAAGAAAAGACAAGTTTTAGCATTACAACTTGAGAGATTATAAGGATAATTATATCTGACAGATCTTTTGGTCCCACCACTTAAAAGTTCTGGATCATAGCTGGTGCTTAATGATATCTGCTAAGTGAATAAATGAAAGTGAGAATTATTCAGTTCCTAAAATAAGTCTAGACAATATGAAAATCTGTGAAGTACTAAGTCTAAACTGTGCATCCACATATAGCTGAAAAAAACTTATAATTTACCATCATGAGGCAAGAAATCACTAAGGATTAGAAGCTTCTTTAAGGGTGGGAACTATATTTAAGTAATCACTTCTCTTCCTTAGAGTGATCTCCAACAAATCTACACATTAGATGTGTTCATTCCCTTTTCAAGGGCAGGGTTTTGTCTATTTCATTCACTGCTGAGTTTCCACTGCCTAGAACAAACCCTCAGTGGGCCTTACCATGTGCAGAGTGCAAATCTAAGAAAAGGAATATAAAACATGGTCTCTGAAAGCTATGGACTCACCATTTAGTGGTGAAGTTAAATAAAACAAAAAAGATAGCAACATAATATGGCAGGAGCTTTGAAAAAAATAAGTACAAAATTCTCAGGAGTTCAGAGGAAGGAGCCCTAATTTTCTAATTCTCATGGGATTAATAATAAGGCAATCTCTTCATCTGTATTGAGCACTAAGGAAAGCCAAAAACTAAGACACACAGATTGTTAATTTTGGGGTCTTCAATTAGAAATCACGAAAACAAGTTTTTTCCCCTGGATCCGAAGTAAGTAGGAAAGTCAGTTAATGCAGCTAGGATCCTAAACAATGAGGATTCGAAATTTTGTGGATTTTCTGTCATTTAAGTATTTGTCCATTTCATTTATACTGAAATTACTTATGCAAGGACTCACAGACAGTGGTAGATTACTAGTCTTGCTGAACAGTACACGACTGTAGTACTGTTCCGTCATGGAACACCGAGACACTGTATGAGGTGCAACTCTCATAAAGAAAAGGTGGAATTTAACTCAGCATGATGATATTTTAACGAAAATGGTATAAGCAAATCTGCGATGTAGGAGAGTATAAAGCATTTTGGAGGGACAACCAAGCTCACTAGGCTTTGTGTACGACATCACACGTAATAATACCCTGGGAAAAGTCCAGTGACACAGCGCTGAGAGCTAAAGAGTATGGAGTTCATTGTATAGGCAAAAACAATTCAGTGACGCCTAGCGACAGAGAAGTGTCAAAATGGAACAGTATTTTAGGAAACGTAACCTAGGAGCATTTCCTATGCTGAACTGGAAAAAAAAGACTAGATCTGGTGAACAAGGGGAGGAGACTCCGGCCGCCGGTCACATATGGTGCGACGTGTGAAATGAAGGGCAGGAAGCCATTATTTGCCAAGGCAGAGGGAACAGAGACGATAAAGCTTCCAAATAGTAACTGAACTCTATGAGCCCAGCAAGATCAGAAGGAAAAGGGTATTACGCATAGAACTCTGTAATGAGAGGTGACAGACATTATGTGGTCATTAAAGTCCTCAAGTTACTGAGAAACAAAGAAAATTAATACTAGGTAAGTATAATATGTTTCATCATAAAACCTTAAATTTAAAACCTTCTCAAACTAATTTCAAATATAGCTAAATACTGCACGAAGACAAAGAGAAGATCATTTCTGTTACTGCACTGTCTAATGCTGCAGTTAAAGGCTGTGGAGTTTAGGAGAAAACCTAGAAGTTTCATTAATTAATTTGCTTAATAAAACTCAGTTAAGATGAAGAGTAAACTAGCGAAGTGGAACTTCACATTGTATACCTTTACATATCAGCATTAATCTTTTCACTTTATTATCTTTTATAAAATATAATTACTATATTTTACACCATCTAAAATATAGCTAATGTTTGATAAAAGTCTAAAAATCAAAAACATAACTTCAGGATTGCATACATAAGGAAAATAATGGCTTAGTAGAGAAATAAAAAGCAATTTGGAACACTGTTTTAGGCAGTTGTAAGCAAATGTCATTTTAATAAATTTTTAATATTTCTCAGTAAAAAGTTTAAAAATGACCAATATCCCAATGTTTTTGAAGTACTGTTGTGTTACTTTTTAGTACGGATTAAGAATTTGTACATATATCTATTTTTAATACATACATGTACCTTATAACCTGTACGATGCATTTCTTCAGAGATGATATCCAGGGAACAGTGGCTGAATTTCTCAGTGCCAACAAAACAGGATGTTGTTCAAGAGCTGCAACATATGGCGGAGCTGGAAGAAACCGCCCAATGTACTGCTCAATAACATTCCCTAGCAATTGATTCAAGTAGGCATTTGCATTTTGAGAGTGAGAGCACACAATACACATGCCCTGTGAAAAAAAGAAAGACAGAAATAGTAAGAGGCAAAATTTCAAAAAATATTCAATTGTAATTAATAAAAAGTACTTAGGAACTTATTAATATATTCTCCAAAACTAGTATTAATGTCAGCATTTATAACATCAATTAAATTATCAATAGATACATATATACCTTTGAAGTTAAGCTTGTAGGTAATGCATATGCTATTGTATCCAACCAAACATGTATTTTGGAAATATGGACACAGGAAATAGGGGGACAGATCAGAGAGAAAAAAAGGGAGATTCCTTCTCTTCCTCAGTACACGTGACCTCCAGGATCACTGAAATAGTTATAAAACACAGTTTAGGTTAGTCTTTTCATGAAGAATACTGATGATTTTGTCTAAAAATAAAAGAATTACACTAAAAATTTCCATGTGAAGTGTGATAAATTTAAAAAAAATAATTAATGAGAGAAGAAAGAAGATTAAGTCCCAGAATAACAATGATTTTTTTTTTTTTTTTTGGTCTTTCTGAGACAGGATCTCACTATGCAGTTCAGGCTGGCCTTGAACTCGCATCCTCAACAATGATTTACTTTGAGGTTTTTCTATTCTAAGTTTCTAAAAAAAAAAACCCATATTGAGTTAATATTACTCTATTTTGCAGCTAGAGAAACTGAAGTTTAGAGTTTGCAGCTTAATAAAGATCATAAGAAATCATAAAGTCTTATTACATATCTGTTGATTTAATCTCTTCCACTGCATATCAGTTAACATGACATTTCACACAGATTACAATAATCTTACTAGTGATTAAACCCCAAGACATACTCCAAGAAAGCAAATATATACTCTGAAAAAAGTTTTTTTGCTACTATTGTTTAAGTATGTATTTTAGCTATAAATGGATATTTACCCAATAAAATTCTGAAAACGTATTTATAATGAAACAAAGCTGTTAAAACACTGGCAAATAAACAATTGAAACAAAAATGGAAACCTGCCAGCTTTTGTTTTTTGGATGTGTTAAGGAAAATCACAAATAATCAGATGAAGTAATAACACAAATACTTTTCAAGAACTCTAAAAAGCAGAGCTAAGTACCGTTAAGAAATTAATGTCAGTTCTGTCAAATGGATAACTGAGCTTTTGCAATTTACCACACGCAACGTTGTAAAGAATTCCTGTTAAAAGGGTTACTTGGTTTAAAACAATTACATGGAACAAATACTCTAGACTTTTCTGCTACCCACAGTTCCCTTCCACTCTACCGCCACTGTGAGATTAGCTCTCCTGTTCCTGCCTCCCCTCTTCCTACTAAACCACACACTAAATTTTAAATACTATCATGAACATAACATAGAACATTAACTTAAAACTCCTCCAAAATTTAAAAACTGTTTAAAAAATCCTTCTACAAAAGAAAGCACTGGTTACCTAATCAAAATCTATTTTCTCCTTCATCCTAAGCTTTCCTTGTTGGACTTCAGAATAAAAAGTACTTTTCAGTATTAGACAATAATGAATGACAGATCAGTATCACCAACTGGACATTACTACCAAGATATTCCACAACACACAAGGTGAAGTTGCTAAAAAAACTAGCTGGGCATTGCTGTGCATGCCTGTAATCCTAGCACTTGGGAGGCTGAGGCAGGAGGACTGCCACAAGTTCGAGACCAACCTGAAACTACACAGTAAATTCAAGGCTAGCCTACACTGCAGAGTGAGGCCCTGTCTCAAAAAACAAACAAACAAAAAAACAACAACAAAAAAACCCCAACTGTTACCTTCATCTATGTATCTCCAGAATTTCCATTTCAGTTAGCAGCACTACCACTTGCACAGGAAGTCACTCTGGACTGAGTCACTCTGGAACCTAGGAAGCATTTCATTCCTGTTTCCCTACATCACTGAGAAAGTATTTTTTTGTTTGTTTGTTTGTTTTTCTTCCGGTACCAGGAGTCGAACTCACGACCTTGCGCTTGCCAGGCAGGCACTTTTGCCACTGAGCTAAATCCCCAGCCCCGAGAAAGTATTTTTAATCAGAGCTCCTCAATGTTTCTGAAATCTGATGTATGGTTCTAATCTCACTGCCTTAGTTCAAAACCTTTAGATAATGTGTGGCCTATTTACTGCCTTCTAAATCTCCAATTTAATCCCCGCACGTCTTTGATGCTAATACCAGAATCATTTTTCTAAAGGGTATACATGGTTAGGTCACTCCAAAATCCACCAACACTCCCAATATAAGAGAGGAATCCAACTTTTTAGCATGGTACATAAATCCTTCCATTATAAGGTCCCTCCCATATGAATTTCTAGCAACAACATACACAACTACAGTGGTAATTTGGTTCATGAACCTGATTCTTTCTACAATTCTGGTCACAAACCAAGTTAGACAAGAACTGAATCAAATTCAATGGTTAGGTTTAATGTTGACCTTATGGAGAAAATTTATTTGGTTCTTGACCAGTTTGCTTTGCAATCAGAATTGTGGAGAGAACAGTTTGTAAACCAAGGTAGCACTGTATTTGCTTTTCGCCACCTTGGTATATTTTTCTTAAATCTCCTGCCCTTGAACATGTTTGCTCCTTCAGACAGAACAGTCTTCCATTCCTATTTGTTCTTCTCTTTTATATGATATGATATGTGGATATCATCCACAGCATCCTCCAAGTCTGGCTGAGAAGTAGCTGAGGTTTCTAAGGAAAGCGCTGAGCACAGTTGCTAAGTGTCTGCACTAGTCTGCCGCCTCTCCACCTCAAGCTCTGGGAGGTGCAGGACTTGCCTTTATAAATCTTTCTTTTCAAAGTCAAACACAAAAAGAAATTCAAACCTTGTTCAGTGGCTATGCCACATATACCCTTGAGTTTACAAAGTCCAGTTTTTAAATTTGCATATAGTAAACTATATTTTAAGACAGAGATTCCATTTCTTTAAGCTTATAAACAGCCACACTTAGTATACCTGGAGATACAAAGGAAGGCTCTTCTGAATTGCGGTCAACATAGCTGCAGGCAATTCCTTCTCTTGCTGTAATACTGTATGGGGCAGCAGTAAGCAATCTATGATTCGAAACAGCAACTTTTGGGCTTTAGAGGTGGCAAAAATTTGTGCCCATGATTTAACAAGAATTCCTAATAAAGGAGAAAAGTAACAGCAGTTATAGTTATCTTCTAACTAGAATATTTTGTTATTTTATGAAAAAAAAAATATACTTAAAGAAAGCACATAAGACCAACTTAAAATAGGCAGTAGGAAGAAACATGCTTGGAGTTAAAAGACATATTTCATTGCGCTAAATTTCTCTGTGATAGGTAAAGAAAAACAAGTTTTCTGAGCAATTGGTACTTATAATGATACACATTGCTCTACATTTATTTTCTTGATACTTCTATTTCTTTATGCTTTTACATAGCATAATTTTATAGGTTGATTGAATCTAGTTTGCAATAAGGAGAGGTACAACTAAATTTCATTATTAAAATAGGAAAATTAGATCAGCTTGTACACTGTGGTGTGATCATTCAACCTTACCGAACCCCAGTTTTCTTATCTTTCAGTTATTTAAAACGAACAAATTTTGATTCCTAAAGAGAAACATGCCCGCTCTGGTGGTGCAACCGTATAATCCCAGCAGTTGGAGGGCTAAAGCAGGAGGATCACCAGAGCCCAGACTGGGCTAGATAGTGAGTTCAAGGCCACCCTGAACTACACAGAGAGACCCTGTCTCAAAACAAAACAAAACACTACACAAAAAAGAGAAACATTTCTTCACTACTCAAAATGTACGATCTCCTTGATGCTAGGAGTCTGTCAGCTACCACATCTGATGATAGTAAATCTTAACAAATGAATACCCTTTATTTAAAAATGTAAATAAAAACAGCTATATAATTTCCACTATGGTGTATAAGTGCTACTGAAGCCTCATTCACTGAAAAATGAGATTAAATGCTTGTCCAAACAGCGCAGTGATACATCGACCGCATAAACTTCTATATTTTATTCCATCTTAGAAACCAAAAAAGATGATAACATTCAAAGTCATTTCCATCAAACAAAAACTTTAAAATTCAAGCTCAGAGGGAAAACAAACATGCTTATAAAAGAGTACACTGATGTTAAAAAAATTCAATAACCACTTCTAAGAACAACAAACAGCAACATTAATCTTCTGTAAAAGGAGGTACAATAATCAATCATAAAGAAACACTATGCTCGTTTAGCAATATTTTAAATAATGTTAACCTGCTCCTCATGTTTGCAGGAGGTGGGAGACTTCAGTTTGACAGCAATACGGGAAGAACTCATGTTGTAATTTACATTAGTATATCCATGAAGGAACTGCTATCACCACCAACATTTGGAATGATTCATATCACACGCAGGTGTCACACAGTGTGCATTACTTATAGAGTAGGGACCTGCCAACCAAAAATGCATCATCTATCTTTATATTTCATCTTTTGCAATAGTTAAAATCTTTTGCTGAAGATCTTACATTTTATGAGTTCATAGAAGGCAAAGGTAATATATTTGCTGCACTGCTGTTTCAAACTCCTACATTTTAAATTTTTAGCAAAGGATAGTTGTGTACCTATGTGTATTTACGTGTGCCTGTGATATCTGAAGATGAAGAAAAACAAAAAATGTTAAGCCAAGAACTTTGGGAAAAGTTTCCTTATAGTAGCTTAATTTAAAACAAGATCTCTTTTTCTGATTATAAACATTTCTATTTATTGATAAAACCGAAATAAAGAAAAACACAGATCATCTACCCATGCAAAGATAATCACCACAAAAGTTATGTGTTATTCTCCACATATAAAGAGCTGGGATCATTATCATGTGTATTTAAAAACCTATTTATAAGCAGAAAGTGATCTGGCTCATTTAGAAACATTTAAAAACATATTATGTACTACTGCTTGGTTTAGAAAGTCATTAAATTCCAGAAATATTAGTATCTGCCATTTCTTACATGGGAGAAGTTCTTACACAAACGTATTGCCGGTTCCCAATCCCGTGCATGACACATACTCGCTAAACACTGTCTTTGTGTTCAAATACAACCCGATGGGAACGGAACACCAGGAAGACACTGCCACCAGTAGGGGCAGGTCACGAACACAATTACAACAGATGACAAGCTACGGATAAAAGTAGGACAGGAAGGACAGACAATCAAGGAGCCCAAATCTATCTGGGAATGTGAACAAGGTGGAGACAACTGAGTGGGCACTGCAAGGTCACAGGCAG